TCTCCGGCATGTCCGACCCTTCGCGGACGCTTGCGAACGCTTTGCGGACGCTTTGCGGACGCTTGCGGACGCTTTGCGAACACAACGCAACGACCTCGCGTCGCCTCCTGGACCCCTGGACCCCAACTTTAAAACAGGAACCCTTCTGCTACGCAGGAAAATGGAAGCAACTATATTGTAATAGGGTATTGTAAGAGGGTATATATTGGGGTTATGTCCCTCCAAAGGATCTCAAAAATGTAGCCCCTTAATAAGTTGACGAATGCAGCAATGGACCTATGTTTTGGAGGAGGGGGGGGGCTCTTTTTTTAGGGGGTCTGGGTTGAACACGTGGTTTGCGGAGCAAAGACACATTCTGCCTCTGCAGGGCATCATGTCTAACTAGAGTGCCTCCTCATGCTGCGCAGCAAGACTTCAGCCATATGAGCTATGGTCTAAACTCCTTGAGGGGGGTTATATAGGGGACTACTATAGGGGCTTACTAAAGGGGGAGATACTAGGAGTTTGGACTACGGCTCATATGCTAAACTCAATGCCCAGGTCCGGGAGAGGGTCATCATCAGGTTGGCCATCTTCCACTACTGGCGGGAGGCCGGAAGCTTTCAATCTAGGAAGCTGAGAGGTTGTATTGGGGTCATGTTTGGGTTGTATTAATATTGGGTTTAGATAAAGCTTATATACAGGTTATATTGGGGTTATATTAGGGTTATATTGGGGGTATATGATTTATTCTGCCGTTTTGGAAGGCCACGATCTTGCAAGTTGTGAATGCAGTGAGACGTAGAGTAATCATTGTCATCTACATTTTTCCAGCGCTTGGGCTGAGCATGGATTTGAAGTAGGTACCCTTGCAGTGTAAGACTTGTGCAATTCCAGAGAATGCCTTCCGACCTCAAGTGCCCTATATACCCTTGCGAGGCCTGCATGTGGAGCAAGAAGGCGCATCTACACCACCTGAGGCGCCGTCTGAGCACTGGGCAGGAGGGTTTAGAATTAGGGGTCTAGGGTTCAAGGCTCGAGATTGAGTTTCAGGTCGTTTAGGGTTGGAGGATTCGGAGGATGCAATTGCAGCCTTCAAAAGGGGCACCCTTGCTCATCTAGGCCTTGTGCCACGGTTGCGCCGAAAGCATGCAGTTGGATCCTGACCATGAGCATCAGGATCGATTTGTTGTTATGTAGTCTCGTTTATTGGGCCAGAATAAGGTAAAACGTAGTTTGTTCAACTTTCTTCTCTCGTATTGATGACAGTAGGAGTTGGAAACAACTTTACATTTCCTGTTTTGGCAGGTTGACAGCGATTTCTCGTGAGAAGTTGACTTGGGCTTGTCCGGTTGGCTTGTGCAGGCTCTTCCCCAGGTTGGGCTGGCAATGGTCATTTACCTAGATCGCATTGTACGGCTCCATCTGTTTCCAGAATCTAGTACAACCTTCATGAGTAGTTCCGCGTGGAGTTATACTCTAGTGCGTTGTGTGCTTTGCTTCCTTCCCATAACCGTCAAGCAGAGTTCCCGTGGCCAAAGCAACCCTTCTGCATGCCCTCCGCAGGCGACAAGGCCAGGAGATCGCCAGCCACAGCAAGGAGGTGGGAGCTTGACAGCATCTTCCCCATCCATTCACTCCAAGTCCGATTTCTGGCCTATAGCACTCAAGCTAAGTAGCTTTAGGACAGTGGGACTTGAATCGTAAGACTGTTGGATCTGAGCTCTGCAGTTCAGAAGAGCATCGCCCGTTCAGGCCTGGTGATTTTCGTTTTTACACGACGTAGGAAAGCTATGGCCAAGACGACTCTGGTGTGATCCCTCAACTCTGAACACTTCCATTTGAACCACAATCTACACTCCTTAAAGGGGCTTCATAAGGGATTATATAAGGGACTACTAGGGATACTAGGAGTTTAGACTAGGCTCACTTGAACCATCTATGGGATCGCCTGCGTTGCTTCCGCATTCTTCAGACACTATGTAATACACAGCTAGCATGGGCAGGCAAGGCAAGATGCATATGAAGTCTCCCCAAGCGGTAATGCCCCAGCACTATTGCCATCTCGAAGATAAGGTGGACTTTTGCTGATTACCTTGGGTAGCCGAAGTGAACAGCAAAAGTATGCAGAACATGTTTAGACCTCAAATCCTGAAGCTTTGAGGTCAGCCTGCTGGTGACCCAGATGTTGGCCCATCAGCGCGACCTCTCATTACTGACCAAGGCAGCAGCGTTTGCAAGGTTGCCATTTCTGCATAGCCACATTGCAGCCTTGAACCTTGCGCATATCATCTTTTTTTACCATACACGCTCAACAGCACATTTGCGTGATTTTCTACAAGACAGGCGCTTGCCGAGAAGAGAGTAAATCCTCATCCGCGAACTATAATACCAGTTCCTGGGGTGAGGTTTGAGTTAAAGTACTGCGACAGCTTGTATACCATGGAAGAGTACCCCCTGAAAGCTTGTTATGCGTAAAGCCTGTTCCACAAACCTTGTTGCCATTATTCAGCGCCCTACACTATGCGCCTTCAATCACGTCGAGATGTGGAGACATGGGATTCTCAGCAGGTGATGGTCCAGTGGAAGCAGGCTACCTGGTGGCATTGCACAATGTAAGGTTTGGGGAGTAGGGCTTAGGCTTTGACATTTGGTGCTTTTTTGCATAGGGGTATCCAAGGGACCCCGGAGATCATTTCAGGCAAAATCCCTTGCGAGGCGGCCTTAAGCTTTATATATTACTTCGGTGAGAGACGTCCATTGTAAATGCTAGGTACCAAGATTGCAACTGCAATTCCTGTTCACGCTGTAGCATGATAAATGGGCGATGTGCATGTCACACACACACACTATTCCCAAGAAGGAATCCCGCAAACTTGTTGAGCATCAACCTCCACGCACTTGCATAACATGAGCTGCTGCTTGTGATTTGGTCCAGACGCTGGCAATTCTTGGTTTGTTCGACTGTGCTGCCATTCCGTGATTCCTGACCTGATCTGAAAAGTCCAAACTTGGGGACGTGCAGGTGGTGGAGCGCGAAGCGAACCAGAAAGCATTGGAGTTCAAAGACGAAGAGAACGCTCAAAGGCTAGAGACGGTCAACAATGCAGTGGGGTCCTACATTGGTGCTTTCAACTATTGCTTCTTATGCTCCCCACAGGCACTTTTAAGATTGACATATGCCAGGGTTCTATAGCAGGAAGGTCCAACAAACAGGTTAAATGGGTATCTGGAGATGTAGTAGTGCAATGAGTTGTGTCCGCGCGACCACATGGTTTCCGATGTGATGGGCTAGTGTTATCGATGTCCGTTCGTTATGTCAGTTTCGGTGGCCTGCGCCCTGCCCCGTCAAAGTGGGCTGGGCAGTGCAGGGCCAGCAGCCTCCTCTCCATTTTTCTCGTGCAAGATGGATTCGAGGCCCTTCGCCCACTCTTTTCTTATTTACCCAGCCACCCTACCCTGTTCTTCAGATCCAGGTTGGATACCGGAGGCACCAAGCACACACACATTGGACAAGACATGATGACATGGCAGGTCCTGCTAGAAACAAGTTGCTAGAAACAGTTTCACACCCAAACTACTTAATGAGTGTGTGGCAGCATTCCACTCCTAAGCTACAGGGCGGATACCCCGACCTCAACATGCAAGTTGCCTTCTAGTCGGACTGCGGGTGCCGTTGCATGACATCCCATCCCATCCCCTACCAAAGCAAGGGAGCCTGAGCTTTCTATAGGCCCAAGCATAGGGTTTAGGGTATTATGGAGACTCAAATGGAAAAAATGGAAACTGAAATGGAAACTGGGATTATGTAGGGGTATATAGGGTTTAGGGCTTGGGTTCCTTGAGCACTCTGACAACCGGAGGGTCAAAACCTGCGTCCTCGACGAGCGAGTTGCCGGTTCCAAGCGTGCGCAGGCAAAGTCTTTGAGCTTTTGGCAGTGGTTTAGAAGGTTGCGGCTTTGGGCTATTGGGCAGTGAAGAGGAAGATTGTAAATCTGAGGGACCCATAACAGAGGAGACATTGCTGCATCTTGAATGCCGACAGGAAATATATGGAATCCTTGGCGCGTCCTGACACATAAACTTTTTGATGGTTATAGCTACGCCCCTTTGATCTCCTTGTATTTTGGTATACTCCTAGGCCACTGGAGTCCCTGAAAATATCCGGCTTTTGAGAAAGCCCCGTGTGGCTCCTTGCTTGGCAGGTCCTGGTCAAGTGGGTGCTGCTGCTGGACCAGCAACTCACTGCTCCAATTTCAAGCTTTTCGGGATATTTGTTTTGGACAAGCTCCTAATCCTAGACTTTGGTCGCGCTCCTAAACCTCCAAATTCCCTTCTCGCCGAGCTACAACAGATTCTCGGTGGCCTGAGTTTGTTATTTCTGTTTTTTGCTAGATTACATATACAGTAGCCTTGAGGCTGATACAACGCTCAAACTGTAGATGAGCAAAAGGTTACAACCATGACCCAGAACTGAGAAGTTTCTTATCATGGTCCCAGGGCCGGAAGGTCGACCAGATACCGTGCTTGGCGGGAACTTCTCAAAAACTCGGGTCAGAGGGTAATAGCCCTAAACCCTAAACCCCATATAATCCAGTATATACCCCCTTATTTCGGGAACTACCCATTTAGCCGTGTCGAGAATTTCCAGCATGGTAGCAGCCAAGGCAAAACCAAGCCAAGTGGCTCGCGGCGTGGGCCGGAGAGGCAAACAGCTAGGATTTTATGGGTTTTAGGGTTTAGGATTTTATGGGTTGAAGGTTTTAGCTTTGAGGGTTTAGGGTTAGGGCTTTATGGGCTTTATGGGCTTTAGGGTTTTAGGGTTTGGTGTTGACGGAGCGGCATGACTTGAGGATTGCATTGACAGCACCCTTTATGACCCTTTGTACCCAAAAACTGTTGTACCCAAAACTGCTGTTAGTGGTTTACCTACATTTGCTAGGGCAAGTTGGATTCAGCTGAGAACAGCCCACTTTTGCTTTCTAGGAGCTTCATTCGGCCAGTTGGATCCTAATCCCAGGCGCGAGCAACTCTGGTCCCAAGGGTCGGCAGTTCTCTCCGGGACCATATGTGGGCTCATAAATTTCAAGGGTTGTACTTCACGTACTCGGACAGTTTGGGCGAGGATCTAAGGGCTCCTTGCCTTCTGGCAGGTCAAGTCTGCGAAGATCCTTCGCCAGATGGAGGCAGAAATGCTTTCTATAGGGTCTTTTAGGGAGTCAAGGGCTTTGGTTTAGGGCTTCAGGGACCACATGTGCATTCACATCGATGATTAGCCAAATCAAGCCAACGCCCTCCCAGCTAACTTGAAGCCAACAGGCCGAAAGGGAGGCGCACGAGCTTGCCACGGCGGAGGCTGAAATGCGGATGGAAAAGCACCAGGACTGGCTTGATGCACTTTGCAGCACAATCCTCAAGAGCCAGAAGCGGCCTGGAAACTTGCAGCTGCCCAAAAAAGTAACCTCAAGCCTGTAAAATCAATGATCTCAAGCCTCAGCACGCTGCCAGCAGTTTCTTGCGCAGCCACATCAGCATCATCCTTGTCATTCTTACTTCAGGTCATAAGTAGATACTCTTAAGCTAGTTGGTCGTTATTGTGGGAAGGGTTCCCGTTTTAGTGTTGCGGGAGGTGGTCAAGAATCGTTGTGTTTGTGTTCACGAAACATCCCAAGCCTTCGTGAGCCAGTTGCCCCCCAGCGTCGCCATCCTCGTAACTCTCGTTTGTTGACCCTCGCGTCTTCGATATCTTCCAGAGTGTCAACAGTCGCAGGGATGGGGGCCTGGCGGTCATCCTCGTAACTGTCGTCGGTTTTGGACCAACCCTTGCAGGGAGTGGCGAATGGGGAGTAGGGAAGAAGTCGAGTGTCTGCGTCGTGTGTTTCTGCATAGCGCGTCGAGTCTGTTTGTGTGACAGGCTTAATTTACGCAAATTACATGTTGTGTCTACATTCGGGTTCGAGGACTCCTGTCCGGCTGTCTTTGTCGTGGGTCTTGCTCTTGGCTGCTATTGTTTGTCTTTGTGAGGTAATCGTTGCCATTTCTTTGCAGGATGCCTTGGTACCATACTGGCTTCGGCTGAAGCGCCGGGAACTTGCCAGGTTTTTGACTTGATGGTGCGCAGAGGCGATTCAAAGCCTCCAGCATTGGGTGGCCCGCTTGGTGCAGAAGCTAGAAAGCTGTATGCCCTTGAAATCCTGATGTCGCCGATTACAGCATCTCCCCAAGACTCCGTCGTCTTCAGTGAGGACCCACGCTAATTCTACCACCCCAAAAGTCTGTAGAATGACACTTTTGGTTGGGGCTGTTTTTAGTGTATTTGGGCCACTATTTTAGCTACTTTCGGGGGTTTGGTAGATTCAAGGCTCAGGCTTGAGGTACGGGGTTCAGGCTTCAGGGTTTAGGGGAGCCTGCTTGATTGTGATTTCTTCATTGCTGAAGCAAACCTGTTCCAGAATTCTGGAAGCAGCAATTTGATATCGCTCGCAAAGAAGGGAAGGAGCACTGAAATGTGCACGATACATGAAGGTGGTACAGGTATAATTAGATGATGGCAGCTTCTGTTTGGAGCAATGCTTTGTGCTGGGGGCCTCGGGGAACCCTGAACCCTTGTCAAACAAAAGTGGCCTCCGTCAGCACTCAACTCCAAGTGAATCCGCTCAGGATTGCTGAGGGCAGGCAGTGAATTGGAATGTTGGGTGCTGAACATGACAATCAGTTTTTCGTAATGACAAACATCTGATCTTCTACATCGTATGATTTGAATTCCGACTAAAATCCAGCTAAACCTCCTGCCGACATGCGTCTATTCAAACCTTCACAACCTTGAAGCCCAGGCCAGATGGTCTTGATGAAGTACTTCCCTGCCTTTGTTTTCATCCCCTACGTGCTGATCTCAGTTACGAACCCATCACCTGCGAAGATAGAGCTCCGGTCGTCGAGGGTCATCTAGAAAACCACCAAAATATTCTGTAACGTCAGGGCCTTCGTTGGCAAAAAGGACGTTGCGAGTGTTTCTGAAGAGCTGCCCACATCATGACACAAAGTTACAAGCTGGTGCCCCTGTGGCCGGGTAGATGATCAGCGTAGAAGAGAGTTAGAAAATTGTATAAGCCGCCCAACGGCCCTTTTCCATTTGGTAGTTTCCAAAAATAGGGGGACCCCAGTAAAGTAATTTCAGGAAACCCCCATTTCTATAGCCCTACATTAGCGTGGCAAAAGTCATCTGCTGTACAGAGACCGAAGGAGCCATAATCTAAGCTCCTTCAAGGGGCCGCTATAGGGGATCAGATAGGGGAGTATTACAGGGGTTATTAAGGGGGATACTGGAGATTAGACTCTTGCTCAAATCCTGTTATTATGGCTTTTTGGATTGCATACCCTGGGCAATTTAAATCAACCTCACCCGACCTCACCCTAAATGGTGGTTTATATAGGGAGTCGTACCAAGATGGTTGTAGATTGGGAGTTGAAGTCATTCTCACTTACCCTGCTTGTACATCGGTTTCCTTCAGCATGCTGGTGTGGAACAATGGGTGTCCATCTTGCAGGGGCCATAGATATGGAGCCTACCAGAGGGACATCTCAAATCAACTACTTTCATGTAGGTAGTTGCAAGGACAGTCCACTAAGTGCAACCACAACGTCAAGCCATGTTTTTTGATGCTTAACGGTTCAGGGCTTAGGATTTGGAGCTACAGGCCTCAAGAAGGGATATTTGAGGACTGATACCGTGGCCATTGAATCATTCCAACACTTTCTAATTGTCGCAATGTCTCTAGCCTACGGTAGCACAGACTACAGCATGATGGGAAGTGTCCTTCTGCTAAACACTAGTATTCCTTGTCAGCTTTACTCTAATCATCTTTAGGCACCAGAACCTTCAACCTTGAAGCCTCAAACCCTAAACCCTGTCATACCCGCAATGACAATACGTCAGTAGTATGTCTTTAGGGCCTACATCAGCCAAGCGTGCCGAGATGAACCACTCCGAAGCGCACCTCCAAAAGACGATTGAGAAGTTGCCATGGCATGTTTTCCTCTGAGGCTCCAAGTAGCTAAGGAATGTGGGATGTGGCATTCCTTTGGAATGTTTTGCTTCTGTTGCAACACGCGATTCCGCTTCCGGAAGTGCATCCGCGAACGGCAAGCAGTCATCGCAGCAATCATCTGCGTTGCTGTGAACGAGCTTAATCTAAGTTACTATCTTGGGGAAACCATATTAATTGGTACATATTCCCATTCTGGTAGCTCAATTTAAGCTCCTCAACAGCAACACAGTCATTGTTGGTGCTCTTCATGGTTCGAACAGCTGGAGAGGATGGTGGAAGCCTCCAGTCAGCCATTCTTGGGAGCCCAAGCCAGTAATCAACAGTCAGGCTGCAAGTAAGTGGCAAAAACAAGAAACTCACATTCGAGCCCTCTTGTCGAACAAGGAATACCTAAACCCCAAAAGTAGGCAAAATAATTGCCCAACACCTCTAAAGACAGCCAAAAGGGACATTATTCTCCAGACTTTTGGGGTCTAGGTAGAACTTCCCAGGATTCCGAACCCACAGAGCCCAATACCCCTTAATTCAGGCATATACCCTCAATGGTATTAAGGTCCCGAATATGAATTAAGCTAGATTCCTTACTTGAGGGGTTGTTAGGCTCGCAGGATTCTCAAGCCCTGGCCTGGCCTCGCCAGGCTGGACAAGAAGCGCGAGCGCCACGTCGCTGAATTGTATCAACTCCGCAGGAAGACTGTTGTGACTTTGCTGCAAAGGAAGAATTTGCCTAGGCTCCTAGGCTAAACATCTTACCAACTTTAGCTGCAAGGACAGAAAAGCAAAATACACATTTCTTTTCCTGTTCCAATTGAAATGGTCATGATTGCGTGTGCTTGTTGAGAGTACCGATTTCGGATTCCTTTCAGCGAACTGTTGGAACTTCTCCTTCCTATAGATCCTAGCAAGGATTCCTCCCTGTACTAGGCCCTATGCACACCCTTTCCAGAGTCAAGCCCAGGGTGGTTCCAGCTGTTTTCACATGAACACAGCTTGCCCAAATTGATCGAATTAGATCCCGAAGGCGTTAACTCTGAAGCCACACCTTCGCCCCACAACACGAGATCCCCAAGCATGAAGTGCGAAAGCTTACGCGTTGCCGAGAGAACCACGGCAGTCTCAGGCTTCTGCAGGCGAAGTTCTGAACTTCTTCCGAGGCCTGGGTGCAGGTTATGCGGGGTGAGGGGTTCAAACAGTGAGGGGGCGCACGCTCAGGCTCCACAGCACCGCAAGGAACCTGGGGTATATGCTTCATCCTTGAAAACATTGCTCGTCGATGATTCTTCTTTTGTTTCAATCCTTAAGCACTTGTCACAACGTGATCCTGCAAAATCACTGCATCTAGGGGCTTCAGGAGGGACCATTATCGGGGGCAATATGGCTACTACCTGGACATATAGGGAGTATATAAGGCTTATAGCGCACACGTTGAGCATGCATGGGCACAGCTCGCACAGTGCGGTGTATGTAAGGCATATACAAGGGTTATATAAGGTCATGGGATTAGGGGTCCCTTCTAGGGGTTCCTCCTAGCACCCCTTGACTGGATTAGGAGCAACAACAACTAAAGTACTGCACTCCTGCATGTAGACCGGGGCAGCCGACAGGCCAGAGAGAGCAACAGCTCGTCCTGTCTTTGACGCTGGTTATTTGGTCCGAGGCCGGTCTGGCACAGCGCAGAAACTTTGGTGAGACCAAGCGCCTGCATTTGTCAATCACTACTGCTGTCATCAGTCAATGGGTTGACCTCTTGCTGTTGGGCGCGCCCCCTGTGACCTTGCAAATCGTGCTTGGACGCTTGTAAACTTGCGAAAGAACTCAGTCACCTGGGGGTTTCTCATGACTTCCTTTCTGTATTACTTACCACTCTCTTTGTAATCTGCATTTACACATTTACATATCGCCATAGTCCCCCAAGAAAGCCTTTTCTTGAGAAGACCCCGCCTCAAGTTGAGTTTGCGGGTTCCAGGTCTGCTCTAAGAATCTTCCAGGCCATACAGCGGGCTCCTATTCTAATAGAGGATGCGTAGCCACAGGATCCCATGTAGCAGTCAGCCGCTGATGGCCTTTCTTCCCAGCTTCACTTCAACCGGTGCAGACCCCAATATGCTGTAGTGGAAGCCGTACTTGCTGTAGAAGCCTGAAGCAAGCGGAAGATGACCCCGTCTGACCCTCATGTCAGCGTAGTGTAGCAGCATATCCCCGAACCCTTATCACCATTTCGCATCTAAGCTCTTACAGCAGAAGCTAAAATTACTGCACTGGTGTTCGAGGTCATTGCAGGTCAAATCGCCATGCGGCGATGGAATGAGCAGAGGGAAGTGAAGCTGAAGGCTTGGGTCTGGCATACTTCTTTTGGGATCCTGAAAGCAACTTGTCATGCGTGTCGAGTAAAGTCCAATACGCAGCCAACATTCCACTTTTACGAAGCAAGGTACGGATAGCCCAGGCTTTGGGAGGGAGGTTTGCGGCCTCAGGATGCTTCCGGCAAAGCATCGGCGGCCATTTTTTGTTCACCTAATGGGCTCTACAGGGATGATTTGCAACAGTCCCGTCCCGGGTGCTCAGATTCCCTGCGGGAATCCTGCAGGCAAAAGCCGGATTCAAAGGTCCCAGAGCGATTGCGAACTCAACGGACAATACTCCTGCTATTGGGGTAGGTTGGATTTCCGCCAAGTATACTCCCAGTAAACAACCAAACTGAACAACGTTGCCAAGGTCCAAGATGCATGGTGCAAAGCTGTTTCTGCAGTCTTCTCTGGCATACGTAGTAGTTATGTGAGCATGAGGGACATGTGAAGCTTGTTTTCAGCGTGAAAGACATTATACAATCATACTAAACAGTCACGCCATGGAACTATTGGCTTGAGGCGAGAGGCAATGTTGATGGCACACTTGGATTTCAATATTGGCAAGGTGGCGATTCCTGTTTCCAAAGCCTGCAAATTCTAATCTGAAAGCCTGCTGTTGGCCAGCTTGAGAACAACCTGAAAGAGTTGCACGACAAGACCTGGCACCTAAAGATCGACACGAAGAAGGGCAAGGCCGAGATACGGGTCTTCAAGCCATGAGGGCAGCTGAAGTTTGGAAATTCGTTTTGTATATGGAACATGGAGCTCTAGGGTTTTGCAGTTGGAGCACCTGTGGGTTGCTGAGGGAAGGCTACCCTTCTGAGAACTGGGATATTTCAAAACGTGACCTTTGTACGCAGGTGTCATGTCGGCTTTGTTTCGGCTGGATTTGAGATGTTCTGCGTGATTATTTGCTTTCTGTGTGGAGCAGATGGATAGAAATTCGAATTCTACGGGTTCGGGTTCTGATGTTGCAGCTCCTAACAGTATGTGTTCGAGTCTGAGGCACATCGCAGATGTAAGTTGTGCGCTGGCTCTGAGTCCCGAGCGCATGATGATGGATTCCTACTCGGGGTTCGCAAGATACAGTATCCCGTGCAGCAGCCTTAGCAGGGCCCCCTCGATCCCAAATGTCCCTCGGGTCCACGTGCTCCCATTTTGATTTTTTGGGGCTCGGTGAGCAGGACTTGACGGACACGTGTCGGCACATGGCTGGGTGGCAACCTGGCAGCAGACAAACACAATAAAAGCTCCAGCTTGTGGGTACAGGGAAAGCGGACATGAGGCTGAGCCTTTATGATGGTTTCGGCGGGTGTATATGGAGTCCAGCAATGCTCTGAAGTGTAGAAGGGTCGCAGGACCGGTCAGCCAAATCCACCGAAACACGAGTTCTAGTCCTTAGGCCTGCAGCCTGTACACCAAGCGCCAAGCACAGCTCAGACTTTTGGCCAGCGCAATCATCCCCAGAAAGCAGAAGTGTTGCAACTTCAACCCCCCATGGTCCTTGAAGGGCGCATTTACAAGCTCCTTGTAATCCTCACATGCCCCTCGCCTTTCTTGTTTTTCATCAAGATTTTGAGGACTGGGCAGCTGCTGATGGACCCGGGGGAACGGATTCAGAGTGGTGGCGCAGGGTTAAATTTAAAGCCTTTGGGCAAATTGCAGTGGCTGCTTCACGTTAACCGAACTCCTGGTGGCATTGATCATCGCTCCAGAAGGGTCTAGTTTCTTCGCGGGTTAAATGGAATTAAAATGGAAGCTAGACCGACCAGCATTGGCGTGGCCTGCTCACGATTTACATGCCCGCAGGAAGTGTGCATCCTTCACGCTTTTGGCTGTCCACCACCCAGGGCATGTTCCGGATGTGTTTAGGAAGTTTAGGGGCTTAGAGCTTTGATGGGTAGACGTTTTGGATGGTTTCAAGCTGCTCAAACCTTACAACTTGGTGTGCAGGCTTGAGTCTACATATGTCTACATGGTTAATTTTGCTGCCTAAGATCCAAATGTGAAGGAGTTAGGGGTTAGGGCACCACTGCAGCCAAGAAAGGCATTCTCCAACACACCACAACTTGATGCGGACTGGCCTGCGCCAGCTCAGTCAATGTACAGGTTTCTGAAGCATGTTGTGTGCACGGTAGTATACGAAGCGACTGGACGTGTTGTCGCTCTGCACTCGCTTTCTCCAGACACTGCCTTGTTCTTGCTCGGTAGCAGCACAAAGTCTAGCCGAAATGAATCTCCGATGCAACGGACCGTAAACTTTGCTATATGCCACCCTCAGCAGGGAGGCTGCTCCATGAACCTTTCTTCCAGGTTGGCGCGTGTGGCAACTGCAGGAGGTGCATTCGACCCGTGCTCAGCGTTGACCAGAGCATGCCCCGAAGCGGTGACGTGTCGAACCTGTTAGCTTCCCTAAAGCTTATATCATTCGATAACTGACCTGCTTCTGATCTTCGAATCCCCAAACAAAGCAGCAGGCTCCTTAAGCAGCTGCTCTGCAAGGGCCTTTATCCCGACCCCTGGCTATTCAAGCTTTATTGTGTCCGGCAAGCAAGTGCTTGTCCCAGGAGGGCCTTGGCCAAAGCAAACAACCACACAGAGGCTTCCGGCAGGGGCAGATTTTGGGGATGATGGCTAGCATGATAACAGTTGGGTTGTACACTTTCATGCTCAAGCCCCGTGTTGAATCAGAGCTTTGTTCAATCGGCTGCTCAGGCTGGGTAATACAGGGTCAGCTTGGTAAGGGACCATGAATACCCTATAGTTGAGTTCCGACTAATACGCATCCCTAAATCGATGTCTTCCACCATCTTGAGACCAAGGATGTAATCTGATTGAAAACCATCATGCAAAAGAGTCCAAATTGGGCAGACCGGATTTCATTGCAAAGCTCATGATATGAAGTGAACTTACAGCGCCATCCACTGCTGGCTCCTGGAGCTGTTGAATGCTCTCCTCATTTAACTACGTTAAAGAGTTCAAGCTGCGGGTGCCTAAGCAACATAGTTTGAAGTGGAATTTCCGGGCGTGTTCTAAACCCTAAGTTGAGACGATTCGTTTTCACCAGATTAGCCTTTCCTGGCAGGCCCGTGTTATGGCCGAGAGGATGAAAGTGCAGCAGCGGCAGAAGAAGGGCGAGGTGAAGCTGCATCAAGTTGCAGAAGCCGGGCATTACACACGTCCCCCCCCCTCCCGAAACGAAGAAAAAAAAATCCCACACGAGCTTGACTCCTGGAGTTCCTGATTTGTTTCTGCGTTCTCAGGAAGCTTATGAAGGTAGATTCTACGGAAAAGGCGGCCATTGATTGCTATCAGTCGATGCAGATCCTTTGCAGATCTTAGCTACCCATCCATGATGGATTTTGCAGATGGCAAGAAAAGGTAAGCAAAGACCCACACGCTAGCACGTTTCAGAAAGGACAGCTGTGGCCAAGAGGGCAACATTGCATTGCAACAGATGCCGCGAAGTCATTTGATGTCGGTTGGTGATAGAATTCTCTAAGAGGCTCTGAACTCTGACTGCAGGCCAAACAAGGCTATGAGCGCAACCGGGGCAACTACAAGTCCGGTTGGAATTCCCCACAAACCTCCGGGTCTACGGTTTTGGGTGTAGGGATATTATCCCCCCATAATGGAGAATCAAATGGAAAAGAAGATGGAAAATGGAAAGGGCCAAGCAGTTTCGAAGATAATTGGCACGTCTCATACTGCCCAGTTGTCAGATCAGTACTAGGTAGGCATTTCACAGCGTGTTATGCGCTAACACGTCACGTTGCAACTTCAAGTGTCGTTGACGTGTTATTTTTCACGNNNNGTGTTTTTTTTTTTTTTTTTTTATTTTTTAACTTGAATCACGTGTTATGCTGGAATTGATGCACTTGTCGCACAATTTGGGCGTGAAATCGAGGATGTGGTTGATACTGTGAAATCAGTGCGTGAGAAACGGAATTCGTTTGAACCGGCCGGGGCGTCAGCGCGGAAGGCCTACCTAGGTGATCAGTATGTCTCTCCATCCCACCCTGGCACAGAGAACCCCAGAACTTTAATTCAGTGTTCACTTGCAAAAGTTCATTACACAATCACAATATGTTGTATCGTTTTAGGGTGGAGACAGTATCTGACATGAAGGTTCCAATCCAACATGTGTTCTCATTATTGTAAGCACTGGTCGGCAGGTGGTGATGTCGAACATCATGGTCGCCGCCAGCGAAAATGCCACTGTCGGTGTCCCAAGTTCACCACGGCTAGACGCAGGAACGCAACAATGCCTGAACATGTCTGTCAAATTTTCTTAGTCCTCAGCAGACCCCCAAAGCATTCATGTTTGCATGATTTCAGGGCAGGACTAGAAGTCAGAGCACACAGAAGCCTTATCGGTGCACCTGACCAGATTGACAGCATTCCCAATGTAGGAATCCTGCTGTGTTCCGCTACGCAAGCAGTAATGTAAAATTTCAAGGATCTTAAAAGTTCACGCGCGTTCATGATGAGGTTCGAGAAGGGTTTCGCAGCGCTGAGGGTTGCTTGTGGGGTCCCGCGACTGTTTACAATCCTCAAAACACCCAAGCATTTTGCTTACGAAGGCTCCAGGACAGGTAGAGGTTGTAGAAGTACACAAGTCAATGGTTGCCAGCTGCTAGACGCGGAATTGCATCCACAAAGCCTCGTTGAACATACATACCGTCTGGTGCGTGCAGCCCGCGTAGCGGCTTTTCAGTCTACATTGGTTACACCTTCTTCATGTTAGGTGAAGTTGCTGGCGGGCTTACAGTAAAGTGGGAAGGCGTGGGTCAGACTCCATTCGAGTGTACTCCGTCACGATTCCCAATGGGAACTGTCATGACCTACGTGCTTGCCTCTTTAAGTTCTTGGGCGTACCTGCCCGCTGAAAGACATCTACACGTTCGTCGGTCACAACACTAAGTACGAGTTGCCAGCGCAAGTCTGCAACAAACCCCAAGGTTCCAGGTACCCCAATATGGTACGCTCATGTAGACTTGGAAGCTATAGGAACCTTTGTGGTCGAAAAATGTGTACGACTAGGATTTAGCGTTCTGCCTTGGGAAAGGTCAAGTTTGCCTTCCGCGCCTGGGACATTTTGTCACGAAGTGAAAAGGAACACCGCAGCCTGCTGGCATTTGAAGATTCAAAGGGTTGCAGGTGAACCTTGTCCAGATCTGAAGTCTATCAGTTGTTACAGTACTTGTCTTGCACCATCCTAAGGAGCTGTTACAGACTACGAATCAGCAGGTTTTAGCACGGGGATTTTAGAAGCGAATTTCTCTGATTTGCATTTTCTAGCAGGATGTCCTATGCTACCGCAAGCTGGGAATCAAGTCAAGCCAACTGCGTGACCTTAAGTGCACTCAACCTGAATGCGCAGAGGTGCTTTGAATAGTTGACTATACGTATTCTGCAGGCAGCTGCAGCTGCTTTGTAGGATTTCAAGGGAAATTGTATGAGAAGAGGGCGTGTCCTCCCGCAGTAGAACAGGTCCCAATTAGGGCTGAGAATGAGATTTGTGAAAAGTCAGGAGAAATTGCGAGGCGTCTTAAACCCCAAGTTCCATTTTTGTAAGCCAAGTCTTAACCCACAATGGATCCTACATCCAGGCGCCAAGCTTGGATGATTTGAATCCACGAGCTCACGGAAACCTTTCTGCGGGGGTTTCTTGTGAGAGACTAGTGCCTGAGATATG